AAGGGCGTACAGAGGCTCATCGGCTGTTTGGCCGCCCTGAGCCGGTTCATCTCCCGGCTAGGCGAGCGGGGGATGCCCCTCTACGAACTTCTCAAAAATATAGACGCATTCATCTAGACTGAGGAAGCACAGCAAGACATTGGCCCCAATCCTCGTAGCTCCCGAATGGGGAGAACCCCTCCTCCTCTATATCGCGGCAAGCAACCAAGTCGTGAGCGCCACCCTAGTCATCAAAAGGGAGGAGTTGGGACACCACCTGAAGGTCCAATGACCTGTATACTTTGTCAGAGAGGTACTCACCAACACCAAGGTTTGGTACCCCCAGGTGTAGAAACTTCAGCACGCCGTGCTGATAGCAACCCGAAAGCTCCTGCACTACATCACCAACCATGAAGTCATGGTCGTCACTTCATTCCCACTAGGAGACATCGTCCGCAACCATGACGCCATGGGATGGATCTCCAAGTGGGCACTCGAGCTAATGGGCCACGACATCAGGTATATCCCCCACACTGCTATTAAGTCTCAGGCTCTCACGGACTTTATCGTTGAATGGATGGAGGTCCAGCTCCCGACCCTAGACATCACCCATGAGTACTGGACGATGTACTTTGACAGGTCGGTGATGGCGCCCGACTTGGGGGCTAGAGTGGTTCTGATCACCCCGGATGGGAGAAGGCTCCACTATGCAATATGTCTTCATTTTTTTGCCACAAACAATGTCATGGAATATGAGGCCCTCATCAACGGACTACGCATTGCCATCGAGCTCGGCGCTATGCGGCTGTACGTCTGCGGTGGCTCGGAGTTGGTTGTCGACCAAGTCATAAAGGAGTCCTCTTGCAAAAGCCCCCTCATGGCAGCATACTGCCAGGAGGTACGCAAGCTCAAGGACAAATTCCAGAGGATCGAACTACATCATGTCCCCCAAAAGGACAATGATGCCGCCGATTTTCTTACAAAATTCGGTGCCAGGAGGGTTCCATCTCTAGATGGGGTCTTCATCAACGACCTTCACGAGTCGTCTACCCACATCCTAGAAGGTTTGATCCAGACACACTCTGGCCTTGATGCCTCCATGACAACATCACCCGCTGACGTCGCCGTGGTAGCACTCGATCAAGCTGACTGGAGAGCACCGCTACTCGCCTACCTCCTCAAGGAAATTCTCCCATCAGAAAGGACTGACGCGTGATGAATCGCTCGACGCGCCAAGACATTCGTCGCATTCGGTAACGAACTTTACAAGCAAAGTCTGTTGGGAGTACTCATGAAGTGCATCCATACTAACCAAGGGAAACAACTTTTCCTTGAGGTCCATACCGGAATCTACGGACATCACGCGGCCCTGAGGTCGCTGGTCAGAAAATCCTTTCACCAAGGTTTTTACTGGCCCACTACGCTGCGAGATGTAGAGAAGGTTGTCCACAGGTGTGAGGGATGCCAGTTCTATGCTCGGCAGACTCATTTGCCAGTGCAGGAGCTTCAAACCATCCCCATCACCTGGCCATTCGCGGTCTGGGGCCTCAACATGGTCAGACCCCTCAAAAAGGGCCCGGGTGGCTTCACTCACCTACTCGTAGCGGTGGACAAATTCACCAAGTGGATAGAGGCGAAGCCCGTCACCAACATTCACTCAGAAGAGGCGGTCAAGTTCTTCCTTGACATCATCTATCGTTTTGCTGTTCCTAACTATATCATCACAGACCACGGAACTAACTTCACCGGGAAGAAATTCCTGGACTTCTGTGATGGATACGGCATTAGGATCGATTGGGCCTCGATCGGACATCTGCGTACTAACGGTCAGGTTGAGCGGGCCAATGGCATGGTCCACCAAGGACTTAAGCCACGCATCTTCGACTGACTCAATAAGTATGCCGGGCGATGGGTTGCAGAGGTCCCAGTGATCCTTTGGAGCTTAAGAATGACCCCAAACTGATCCACAGGGTTCACACCTTTCTTCCTGGCCTACGGAGCCGAAGTAGTGTTGTCCTCTAACCTCAACCACGGCGCCCCATGAGTGAATGCCTTCGACCGAGACCGAGCCGCGGAGGCTCAACAGGACGCGGTTGACCTACTCGAGGAGACTCATGAGATGACTGTCATCCACTCCGCTCGCTACCAGCAAACTCTCCACAGGTACCATGAAAAAAGATCAGGGGGAGGACATCTGATATTGTGTGTGTCTGACATCTGATATTTGGTCTGGTAATGCCAAAGAAGACTACCTTAGTGTTGTTGCTCATTACATAAACTCTGATTAGCAACTAGAGAAAAGGGTGCTTGGTCTTGTCCTTATTGATGTGTCCCACAATGGACAAAACATTGTGAACGTGTTGTATCTATGCTTGCTGATTATGGTTTGACTGAAAAAAGTGTTTCCTGCTACTTTAGACAATGCTTCATCTAATGTTTCTGCCATGCGTAAACTTAGACCTGTACTGTCTAAATATCTTGGTATTGAGGTTGTAGATGAATCTGTTGAATCACAATAAAACAATGCATCATCTGATACTGCAGTTAGTTCTATGTTCTTGCATCAGCGATGTGCATGTCATATTATCAATCCGAATGTTAAGGAGGCCCTTGAAGCTCTTAAGCCTTTGATTGAAACATTTCGAACTGTAATATCCTTTTTAAACTCATCTCACCAAAGAATTCCTGCATATAAAAATTGATGCATTACCACTGGTGTTAGACCTAAAAAATTTCAGCTGGACATGGAGGTAAGGTGGAATTCTACATATCTGATGCTTAAGCATTTGTTTCCTCATAAGACCCCTTTCACTACTTTCATGCATGCTCACTATCCTAGGACTGAAGGTGGTCAGATACTTTTAACTGATAAACATTGGGCTATTGCAGAAAAAGTACTTACATTTCTTAAACTGTTTTATGATTCTACAGTTGCATTGTCTGGTGTGTACTATCCTACATCTCCACTTATGATTCATTATCTAGTTAAGATTGCTATACACCTAAAAATTATGATAATGGCACTCACCTTAGACCTGTGATTCAACCTATGATAGATAAATATAAGAAATATTGAAAGGACATACATTTACTTTATTCTTTTGCATTTATCTTGGACCCTAGAGCTAAAATAAAAGATTTCATGAGAGTGCTGAGGAGGTTGGGTAGCCTGACCAATATAGATTATACTGTATACCAGTTGGCACTAGAGCTAGACTTACTTATGCTTACAATAAGTATGAGGAGAAATATGGAGCTGTTAGGTTGAGGAGGTTGTCCCTCCTAACTTGTCTGGTAAGAAAAGGTTTGCTTGGGATGAAATTTATGATGATGATTATGGTGGTGATTCTGTTGGTGGTATCCATCCTCTAGCTGCTACTCTTAATATGTCTAGAAATATCCCTGCAATTGCCCTGCTGCAGGCTGCAAGTTCTTCAACTTCTATTGCTTCTAAACTTATTTCCTACTTGGACTGTGACACTATTAGCCACTTAGATGATGATTTTAACCTCTTGAACTGGTGGCATCAGCACAAACTCACATATCTAGTGTTGTCTATCATGACAAAAGACATTTTAACTGTTCCAGTCTACCATATCTTCATAATCCACTTTTACTATGACTGGCAGGATCATCGAGTAGCGGCGGAGGAAGCTAAAGCCTGAGATAGTGAAGATGCTCACCTGCATCAAAGACTAGGAGGTTGCAGAGGCAAGGCTGCAATACAATGTGGAGGACAAAGAGCTCGAAAAAGCATTTGAAGAACTTTATCTTAATTAGTGTCTCAGTGATCATTTTATGTAATGTGAGTGTAATATGTTGGACTTGTGAACTTTGATGTAAGGACAACGAACTCCTATGGAGCTGGGCTATACTCTTTTTCTCTGTCTAGAGTTTCTCACAAGGGTGAGTTTTATCTAGACAAGTTTTTAATGAGGGAGTCATTACACTAAAGCTCCTAATAAAACTTTATTGTGTTATCTCTGCTTTGTTTGTGTCATCTCTATGAACTTGTTTTTTTTGTTAAAATCTTGGAGTCTTTGATATTTTCTGCAAGTTTGAGATGATTCTGTTACTTCATAAAATTCTGATCAATATGAGGTGTTTGGCACTTACAGTGCTAATACCGACACAGACACTACATGCTGTCGTACCTAGAGGCACGGCACGGCATGTCACACGATACAGCTAACCTATCGTATCATGTAGTGTCGTGCCTGACCGTGACGGGCGGCCCGTTTGGCCACTTAGAGCAAGTCTAACAATTTAGCCTGCTGCCGGCTGCAAGAGCATGACATGTCATATACAGTCAGTTATATAGCCAACTCATATTATGGCTTAGCTGTTTGACGGGCTGTAGCATTTAATGATCACAGTACAAGAGTACGTGAAATGGGAAAGAAACGCCAGCTTCTCGCTCGCAGCCGGCTAGAAAAAGACGTTTTCTCCTCGTACGTTGCGCTGCAGTCGGCGAGGAGTTTACCGCCCGCTCCAAATTCTCTCTCTTTAGGTGGCTGGTTTTTCGATGACGTGGATCCTCCTCGCCGGCTAAAAGGCGATTATTATACCTGCTGTTATTATCCTCGTCTCCGAAGACGAGAGGGTGCGATGCTTCCTGTTCTCCGTTCCCGTTTCCCGCTAGCTAACCCACAGCTTGGAAGGAGAGGGCCCATTAAAGGCCCAACTACAACCAAGCCGATATATACTGCGAACCGCCACCAGCATCCGCCTCTCCACCCAGAGTCCCAGTGCCAGCCGCCGTGCGCTCGCTCTCTCTCTCGCCGCCGCCGCCCTACGCCAGGTGCCGAGGCCTTCGCCGGAGAAGAGCGCCCACCAGGTATCCCCACCCCTTCTCTTCCCTGTATGCTGTGCGAAACAGAGCTCCCAAACTATGACTTCAAGCTATTTGGCTAATTGATGGCTACTTCAGCAAAAAATACCTTCTAATTACCGGGTCACCACTCACCCATGTCCCTCTACTAGATCCGCCCCTAAGGAGGAGGAGGAGGAGGGAAGCGAAGATGCTACGGCGGAATATACGTCAGCGTCGGGAGTACCTGTACACCAAGAGCCTCGAGGGCCCCCAGCGGGCGCTCTTCGAGAAGAAGCGCCGCATCCGGGCGGCGCTCGAGGAGGGCAAGCCCATCCCCACCGAGCTCCGCAACGAGGAGCACGACCTGCGGAGGCAGATCGACCTCGAGGATCAGGAACGTCAAGGTGTGCTGTTGCCGTGTCCCCCTCCTTGCTCCATTTGTTGTAGGGAGTGATAGGTTTGCATCGTTTGTGTCTGGCTAATGATGTGTTCGTTTACTCGGTTGTGTGGATTGGTGGATGGGTGTGCTACAGTTCCGAAGAGCATCGTTGACAACGAGTACGCTACCGCTAACATTCGGGAGCCAAAGATACTCTTGACCACGTCTCGCAATCCCAGCGCGCCCCTAACCCAGTTTGTTAAGGTATGCTTTTGTTTTTCTGGATGGAAGTTTTTAGGTGCTTTCCACGGGTTCGAACGATGCATTGCATAAAGGCATTCAGCTAAACCGACCTCTCTGGTTCTTTTGCTATGCCTAGGAGCTCAAGGTTGTCTTCCCAAATTCACAAAGAATGAACCGTGGTGGGCAGGTACAGCGTGGCAGCCCTTTACAGTGCTATGTTCTTTTTTTTAAGCCACATATAATACTAGCTATGCATCCTTTGCAATAAATTAAAACTTATTGTGATGTTGCCCATGATGTTTAGGTAGTGAACATATTGCCGTGCACAATTCGGACAATTCGTTTGCCTAAGTGTATCCTGCACTCTAGTATTTTGTTGTCTTGGTTCTTGTTCTTCACTCTCTCATCTGTATTTTTGCCAGGTCATATCAGAAATTGTCGAATCCTGCCGCTCACATGATATAACAGATCTTATCCTGGTCCATGAACACCGTGGTCAACCTGATGGTTTGATTGTCTCCCATCTACCGCATGGTCCAACTGCATACTTTGGGTTGCTCAATGTGGTAAGTGTGCTTATCGGTTCTTGAAGTATATATATTCTGAGCTTGTGCTGAGCACAAGTGTACACAATGAGTGCCCACACTTGGTTGTATCCTGAGCCTTTGTTGTTGTGTGCAGGTGACACGTCATGATATCAAGGACAGGAAGGCGATGGGCAAAATGTCAGAAGCTTACCCCCATTTAATACTGGACAACTTCTCAACCCAGGTGGATCATACATGCATTGTTTCATGTGAACTGTTATTTTTAGTTTGCCCATGCCTTATCTTTGCTGTCATAGTGTCTTGTTCACCATGTGTGCTTGAAAAGTAAGTAACGGTGGTTTTTTTTTGGGGGGGGGGGGTAATTTTACTAGCTTTGACACCACCTTGTTAGGCATACATTACTAGTTTGATGATGATATGATCTGAATATTCCTTTGAATAATTAGCTGCCGAGCTGTACCAGTTTCGTAATCTACTGTTGCTACTATGTTCTTCCCTTGGACATTTTCTGCTTCCGCTGCTGTTTCCTAGCAAGTTTGCTGTTTTGTTTCATTTGACTATGTTGCTCATTGTTTGATTTAACAATAGTTCCAATCCAAAATATACTGCTGCTCACATCAAACAAAATGTTGAATGCAAACAAGTGTTCACACTACACTTTATACTTTTCTTACTACCTTGTGTGGCTGCCATGATGGATTTCTCGTTAACCTGAGATATACTATGCGGATAGAATATATCCATTCAAAGACTAACTGAGCAGCATTGATTCTAAAGATATAACAAGTTGAGGGTGTTGCGATTTGTTTGTGACAGTATTTTCATTCGCTTCTTTTGCCTAGCATCCCACCATGTGCATGCCTATTTTACAATGTTGGGAGGCAATGATGTGTTCTCGTTAACCTGATACATGTTTGATCGATGAAAGTCACTTAAATCCACCCATAGCTCAAGGCAGAGAACCTCCACTCTCCACCCTGAGTAGTCTTCTATGTTTTCCTTCTCTTATTCTTTGGTTGTTTGGTGGCTCTATTTATTTCTGTTAATTTCTGTTCTAAATTAAATAGAGTTGCAGTGAATCCTAATATTTCCACGGAACTCGAGGTTGTGATGATGTTTGCCTTTTAACTTGGGGATGTGCTTCCTATCTATCCCTGTGACAATGGAGGTTACAATGATGTCTTTCTCGTTAACCTGAGCATTTATTGCATGGAAGACACCTAAATCCATTCATAACTCAAGACTGAGAACCTCCACTCACTAGTTTTCTGTGCTTTTCTTATTCTTTGGTCGTTTGGTGATTCCATTTAGTTCTGTTAATTTATTTTCCAAATTAAACACAGTTGAAATGAATTCTAGTATTTCCACAGCACTCTGAGGCTGTGATGTTGTTTGTCTTGTTGACTTGATGTACTTGCTATTTATTCTTAATGTTGGAGGTTGCAATGATGTATTTCTCGTTAACCTGAGATATTATTACATGAAAGACACCTAAATCCATTCATAACTTAGACTGAAAACCTCCACTTTCACTGGTTTGATATGTTTTGCTTTTCTTGATTTCTTTTCTTGTTCTGCTCTTCTTGGCCATTTTTATCCTCTGTTCTGATTTTTTGGGTTCAAAATGTGATAGGATTGCATGTAAATCCTAATATACACCCAGAACTTGGAGTCTTTATTTGTTTTTTTTAATAAAAAACTGTTGTTAACCTGATATGTACATGCTACTGTGAAGACAAGTCTCAGCCCACTATAGCTTCTGAAGGTTAGATTTAGCATATGACACTTTGTTTGGCTGATGAGAGTGGAAGCCATTCTGTGACCTGGTTAGTTTGTAGAGTGGATTGGATTGTAGTGACTTAAACTCCCTTTGGAGTTTTACTAGGGATATTAGCTTGTTTTTCTACTTGTAGATTAGCTATCTTCCTGTTTTCTCAATTGTAGAGAGCATTGCACGCTGTGTCCTGCATGTCCATAGCAGTTTAATAACCTGACATTTGTTGCAGATTGGCGAAAGGACTGCAACTATTCTCAAGCACCTCTTTCCTGTGCCAAAGCCAGATTCAAAGCGAATAATTACTTTTGCTAACAGAGATGACTACATCTCTTTCAGGTACACGTTTCACTATTTCTACAATATAGTTTTTTTTTTGTTACTAGATGTAGAGCATTAGTTGCCGATATGCCTTTTACACTTCATGAGAAGACTGATGTTTCTTTTACTTTGTCATGCAAGGCATCATGTCTATGAAAAACCGGGTGGCCCCAAATCGATCGACCTGAAGGAGGTCGGCCCCCGGTTTGAGTTGCGGCTGTACCAGGTGACAATTATTCCATCCATCCAGTCATTAACACACTGTTAGAGGCTCTCATTGCAGAGTAATGTTTGATCAGTATTAACATGTTGCGCTTGTCCACCAGATCAAACTAGGAACCGTGGAACAAAATGAAGCGCAAAGTGAGTTTGTGCTGCGGCCCTACATCAATACTGCCAAGAAGCAAAAGACACTTGGGGCGTGAACTCCACCGCAGTACGGCAGTACAGCATTTTTTAGTTTTTTTTCTTGTTGACGGTATATACTGTAGCAGAAGCCTGTTCGCTTGGGCTTACAGTATTTTTCGCTCACAAAACAGCTTCAGCCAGCGTATCGGCCAGCTTTAATACCAGCAGAACAGGGTGATTAGGTCCATGTCTGTCTTATAATGTCTTCGCAAATCTGAGTTTTTCTTGGGAGGAAATCATTAGTCTTGGGAGGAAATCATTAAGGGCTTGTTTGTCATGATCCTTCTCAAGTTGAGAGCACTTGAGTCTCCTCCAGACTTCAAAAACGGCTCTAGTTCCTCTGTTATTTACCAGAAAAGGGGAAATTGGTTTCATAGCATCAAAGATCACGACATTCGAAAAATACCATCAAAAAACGTCCGTCACGTAAAATACCACCGAAAGAATGGACAGTTATCTAAAAATAACATTCTGTCACGGTGGCTGTTTTTGCCGTCAATCCTTTTGTCGAGGCACCTTTCTTTCTCAATCCAGTGGCTCGCTCGGACGATACCTCACCATCGCCGTCTTCGCCCTCGTCCAGCCATCGTGAACTTGTTTGTATACATACAAACTCGATTGCTCTAACATGCCGCGAGCTTATCACGCTAGGTGCCGGTGGGCTCCACATGGGCTGTGCGAGCTGGCCACGGGGCTCCAGATGAGCGTGCCTCTCCAGATTGGCATTGGCCTGGTCCCCTCCATCGCCAGCATGGCCACCGCGGCCATTTGCGAGCAGATCGAAGCGCCTCGCCATCGCTGCCTCGTCGTCACGTCCGTGCTCACGCGCTTCGCTGTCGGCGAACCGCTCCCGGTGACTCTATGTTCGAGACCACAGTCCGCACCCCGCCCGGTCGTCGTCCCTTCCTCGCCGTCACCGCTCCACGCCATTGCGCAACCACAGCGCGAGGCACGACAGCCGGACGCGGGCGCTCGAGGCCACCATGAATGCCTGCTCCGTGGCCATGGCCCACATGGCGAAGCAACAAGCACGACTTACGTCCACGCCATCCGCGACTGGCTCAAGCTGAGACTGACGCTGGTCAACGGCGCCGCCGAGGCCTCCCCGTGACAGCGGAGCTCGCTGCATTCGTTGACCGGTGGGGGAAGGTGCTCGACCGCGTGCACTGCATGGACGTGCTCAACAGCTCAAGTAGATCAAGAGCATCGCGAGCGCAGCCCACGCGATCCACGCGTGCTCTAGAGCTACGAGCTGCGGGTGGCGCGGTGCATGAGGCAGTACTCTGCCGATCCTTCTTTTTTGCGTTTGCACGGTGAGGAGCTAAACGGTTGATTCTCGGTGTTTTACTTCAAATTGTTTCAGAATGCTAGTTTCTGGGAACGGACGATTCTTTCAGTGTTATTTTAGTGTCCGAGGTCTTTCAGTGGTATTTTCTGGAAACACGATTCTTTTAGTGCTATGGAACTAATTTTCCCACCTGAAAAATGGTATGTTTTAGTTTGCTAGAAGCTACTGCTGGAGTGGGCCAAACAGGCCCTAATTTATACTTGGGGCTTTGAGAGTCACGTAAAATATTTGTGTTGGGAGGCCAGCCCATGCATAGTTACCCCAGCATCTATCGGCGCGTGGAAGGTCCCTGGATCGTTGCTTGTTGAGTCCCTGCAGATTTGGAGCCTCTTTGGCAGGGCTCATGCAGGGGCTTAAGCTCCGGCTCCTGCAGGGGCTTAAGCTCCGGCTTCTGCAGGAGCTATACCAAACGTCTGTTTTGGAAAGGGCTCCGCATAGGGAGCCGGAGTCATTTTTTGTTTGCGCAGGAAAAGCCTAAAAAACGAGCTTCGCGCGGCTCCTTGCTGTGGGTTCACGTCGTCTAGTGCGAAGGAGCCGTTTTACCAAACGTTTTTCAGAACGGCTTCAGCTCCTCCAGAGGAGCTGCTCTTTTAGAGGAGCCAGAGCCGAAGCCATTTTCAGAGGAGCCAGAGCCCTGCCAAACAGGCCCTCAGTGTTTAGCGGAACCGGAGCAGCCCAGAAACATGGCTTCGGTGGCTCCTTCTCGGTTTAGGTTATTGTGGGGAGGAGCCGGAGCCCTTTTTTTTTTTTTGCGTTGCACAGGAACCATATGCAGGAGCCGGAGCCCTTGAGAGCTGCAACAAACAGGGCCTCACTTAACAGTTCAAATCATGGTTGTATGTGACGTAGCTAGGATTTTAAGTCAGTGGCGTAGCTAATAGTTTAGGATAGTGTGGTCTGATGTAACATAAAAAATTGACCAACTTTTTGACCGCCATAATTGTAACATGACAACACATAAGTATTACTTTAAATTATCAAACACAATAAGATTAAACTAAAAAGTGTAGCTATAATAGTTGGACAAGAATACGACACTACTTGTCAGTCATGTGCCTTCTAATGGCCATAAAATTGTTTGATTATCCCCTCGTCATTTCCCTGTAAGAAGGCAAGAAGCTATCTCGCTCAACATAAGTGGCTAGACAGGCTATCACCCATCTTATTTCTCAATCCATTCTTGACAAAGGTCATTGAAAATATTCTTTCAACATATTTTAGCCACTCGGAAATCAGCTACTCACAAAATACCAATTTGAGAAGGAAGGAAACCAATTATAAACTTAAAAATACCAATTTGAGAAGGAAGGAAACCTAATTATAAACTTAAAATACCAATTTGAGAAGGAAGGAAACCTAATTATAAACTTAAAATACCAATTTGAGACGGAAGGAAACCTAATTAAAAACTTTAGAATATTTCTAGTATCACTAGGAATCAACAACTCACAAATGAGAGGGCAAGGAGATATAAATACCCCACTACTCTAAAACCAGCGGTACTAGCCAAATTCTAGACCACGACGACAAAGAACCCCTCCTCGGATGTGCTCTTAAAATTTGTGGAAAAAATTGGGTCACTTGGAATCTGGCAACCTCAGCTATATTGAACTTAAACCAGGGTTAGGTGTTACTAATTTGTCTCGTGGGTATTCTTGAGCACTAGAGACTTGTCAAAACACTTTGCATCCCCTTAATGGTACGATATACTACCTATATACTCATGGATAAAGGCAAACATAATTTCATGCACTTGAGCTTGTATATCTTCATATATTCCATTTCTTCTTAATATTTTCTCGTAAGGGTTGCAACCTTGACCAAGTGACTTGAACCATTCCAACATGTATGAATTCGTCAGCGAACCAATCATGTCCAACAAGTTTTCCACGGGCATGCATGCAACGTTAAACTGATGAAGCACTCGAAACGAGAAGAGCGTGACAGATCACAGGTGGTACCTACACACTACGTAAAAAACGGTTTGTAGCAACGGGATAAATTTTTTGTAGGGGCGGCTGGTAATGGAGCCGCCCCTACAGTGGCGTGCTCGGGAGCCCAGAGACCAGCCGCCCCTACAAATGGCACAGTAGGGGCGGCTGGTAATACGAACCGCCCCTACAAATACGTCGACCAGCCGCCCCTGCTGTGTCTATTTGTAGGGGCGGTTGAATCACCAGCCGCCCCTAAAAATGCTCTTACGAGCAACTAACCTGGGCCAGGGCCACGCCGGCCTTTCTGCCCACCCGAGAGGCACTACAGTGTACTTGCACGCATATAAAATAGAGGGTGCACACTAGCTAGGGTTTGGCACCTGCACTTGCCGCCCCCGGTCTCCTTCCGCACGCGCTCTCTCCCTCTGACACCAACGTCGCCGGCCTCCATGCTCCTCTGTCCGTGAGTTGCAGCGGCGTAGATCGAGGGAGCCGCGTCGGACAGCCAGGCCTAGGAGGCAGTGGCCGCACGGACTAGGTAGGCCACGGGTGGTGGCGGCGTCTGCGCCGATCCGGGAGACTAGGCCGCGTGGATCTGGCCAGAGACCGCGGGCGGCGGTGGTGGCTGTGCGGACTCCGGCCACGAGCCGGTGGCGGAGGCCGCGAGTGGCGGCGAACGCGTGGCTCGGGACACGAGACTGCGGCGGAAGCCGTAGGTGGCGGCGGCCGCGCGGGCTTGGATCCGGAGACGGTACCGCAACCCTAACTGCCAAGCTCGCCGCCGGCGCTGTTGCTATTGGTCAGCAGTACAAGAGGGCGTCTCCGCATCGCCCCTGGAGATCCCGCCATCGAGGGCTCACCCTGACTGGACGTGGAGAGGTATGCGTTTGTTCATGCATCTTGATTGGTTAATCTACTAACTGGAGATTTGAGATGGCTGGGTGAGGAATCTGAACGCTCCGTGCATAGTATGCAGTTTCCACTATCATTTTTGCTAACTGGAATTGTTGTATTTGACATAAGTAACTTAGATTGGAAGATCATCAATAGCATATGTTTATTTGTATAGAGGGATGCATTTTCCATTATCATTTTTTCTAACTGGAATTGCTCTATTTGACATAAGTAGCTTAGATTGGAAGATCATCAGTAGCATCTAGCATATGTATATATATCCACGTTGGTGCTTTTGCATGCAAGTATTGAGGGGGATGTAAAAAGTCTCCTGGATGGTAAAACTTCCACAGAGCTTGAAGATATGCAAAGTCAAATTGAGTCCCAAATGCGCTCTGGAACTGCAAAAGTTGTTGAATACTGGGAAGCTATCCTGAAACAAAGGTATGCCAGTGGGTCTGCAAATGCCAATCTATTCATACCATTATACAAAGTAAAACGATGCATTTTTTTTTAAATAAGGATGCATGGGTTTATTGACTAGACCTCAGTAATAGGCAAAAGGCGCTACTTTGCCACCACTGGTTGGTTGGTAACCTACTAACCTGTGGTGCAGTTGCATGATCTGAACTTCTTTAAAGGCTTATTACAGTAATCCTTTATAATCTAGAGCTTCGCTATTGCATTGAACTTCTGAATTTTGATTTTGCAGTTTATACTTACGAAAAATACTTGTTTGCATCGCAAGCTTGCCTGAGGGAGATCCATGCTTCTATCCTAAGGAAGCATTTACATCGACTAGAGCATCCCGATGCTGTTGAACAGGATGTGGAATCTGAGAAAGAAGATGATAATAAACTGGAGGATGAGATGCATGAGGATGAAGGTTTACCTTCTTTTCTGATTACTCAATCAACTATGTTTCCAAGATAATGAAGTGATTTCTGATGTATGTTCTATTTGTAGATGATAAGCGATATTCGCCTGAGCCTATACCTCAGCACACAGAAAACCAATTTGAAGAGGAAGATGTATCCTTCTCTCCACAGCTAATGCATGGCAATGAAGATGAAGATGCAATTGATCCTAAAGAGGACAAAGCTGAGCTGGTAGAGTCCCGTGTTTCTATTTCTAATAGTATTAACAGAAACATGATTGGAACTGTACTAGTTATTTCTCGCAAAGGCGATTAATCTGAGCGATTTAATTTGTCAAGTATAGATTGTTAGTAATTGGACTCCATATTATGCAACAAAAGAGGTTAACTGGCAATATTAGGACGAAAAGTTCTACTGATATTTTTTTTTCGTTAAGAAGACAACCTTTCAAGCTTCTGCAGGCCTTCCTGCATGTCTTACCCTAAGAGGGGGGGCATTGATTCATTTAGATCTTACTTTTGATGGCAATGCTCCTTATGGTGACTTAAATTTGAGGGCTTTCTAGAGTTCATATACAAACACGATGGGTGAAGATTTTTCTTAAGAACATCAAGTTATTAGGGTTTATTTTATGAGTTGATTAGATAATTAGAATGATGTTGGCAACTCATACTTAATGCTTTTAATCGTCTCCAGGACCGGAAACGTGAAGCTGTAGTTTTGGAGCATCAAAGGAAAGTTCAGAAAGCCATGAAAGCAAAGGCAAGAGTACCTGATGAGATGGAGATGAAGGCCATAAAAACGATGGGAGCTATGGAGGAAGGAGATGCAGTATTTGGTGCCGGTGCTGAAGTGAACCTTGATTCACAGGTTTGGATGATTTTCCTTTGATCCCATTGTGTTTTTAGCATGGTAACATGACGATATATATTTTCCAATATTCTGCCTTGATACTGGATTAGCGAGAGAGTTCTCAGAATTCAACTGGGATATGGCGTGACTGTGACAATTTTTTAGTGTTGATCCAGAAGGACCGATGATTATCTTGCTATAATCTGGACCATAGATTACACACCTTAAGCTACACCAAAATTTTCAAATAATCTGTTGACTCATGTAATTGTAATTGAGTATATTTTGACAGTTTAATATAGGGGTAATGCCATATTTGAGTTCGATACCATGGGTGGTAACAAGTTTTACACACAAGAAGCGTGATTTAGCAACTTTGGTGCATCCTACCGCATATCAACTCAGCTGGTTTCTGATGGCATATACTTGTTCAATATGCTCGCAGGTGTACTGGTGGCATGACAAGTATCGACCAAGAAAGCCCAAGTACTTCAATCGGGTGCACACTGGATATGAATGGAATAAATACAACTAGACTCATTATGACCATGATAACCCACCGCCTAAAATTGTTCAAGGCTACAAGTTCAATATATTTTACCCTGATCTTGTGGATAAATCAAAAGCACCAACGTACAGTATAGAGAAAGATGGAAGATCATCATATTTGAATTATATATATGTGTGTGTGTTCTGGTCAAATTTAAATTATAAATTTGATTTTTTTACGAAAAAATGTACTGTAGGGGCGGTTCTAAACTGAATCGCCTTACAAATAGGTATTATAGAGACGACGGGTACTATAGCCGTCCCTACAAATCGATTTGTAGAGGCGGCTGGTACTACAGCCGCCCTTATAAATCGATTTGTAGGGGCGGTCTGGAAACCGCCCGTATAAATACATAATTTGTAGAGACGATATGGTAGAAACGGCTGACCGAACCGTCTCTACAAATGATCTACAACCGTCTGTACAAATATTTATTGTAGCAGTGACAGCTCAGACCGTCGTCTGCTAGCCCAACTGCCCGAGCGATGCGAGCAAACGCAGACATGTCCAGCACAAGCCTCCAGCAGCAGCAGCACGTATACGTCGTCGCGACGCGCGGACACGACAAGGGGGGAGTACGTAGGAGACCTCCGGCGCCAGGACGCCCGATGCATGGGCAGTCGACAGCACTGCAGGGACGACGACGTTCTGGCATATATAGGCTGCTGAGAGACTTCAGAGAAGCTTCACGGCACGCCACGGTGCATGCGTCCCTTTGAAGCCATGACGAAGTTAAAAGTGCTCGAGAATATATATAGTTGGCAAAATCGATCAAATGGTAAGTGACGAACACGTCGACCTCGGCGATGAGTAGACGAAATTGGAATCTCGGGGTCGTGCAATCCACCGAGCATAGCTAGCTAGCCGCCTTCGACTGAGATGTACATGTACGCACGGCCGGCTTGTCCCCGTCCGGCTCTCTGCACACGGCAGTGCGATGGATCATGCAAGGTATGGGGCTATCGGCCGGCGATGGAGCCACACACACGAGCCCACAACCACAATGCATGCAAACGCGCAATGTACACATATATGGGATGTATGCAATGCACGTTTCTGTCCCAATTATTGGCGCCCTGGCTCGACAAACGTACGTGCGTGCGTGCGTGCGTGCCAAGTTTTCCTCCGCCTGTCGCTCTCTCTTGCACGTAGGTAGCAGAGTAGAGCTAGAGCGCAGCATTACTAGTACATGACACTACAAAAGTGGCCGAGATCTAGTCAGATGATTCCTCTGCGACTTGTCCCTTGCGCGTTGCGTTGCAAATGGACAGCTACGTGTTACCTAGCCTTTCTTCTTTCTTTCGGCTTCTTGGCGCTTTCTCTCGTTGAGGCGGCTGCCTGCCTGGCTGGCTCTCCCCGTCCAAGCGTCCACCACCACCGTCTTTCTCCTCCATCCAGCTCGCCGCGGGCGCCATCACCTCACCGGCGCACCCCGGCAGCGGCAGGTCAAGTCGTTTGGCTGGCCCAGACCCTGACCCTCCAGAAAAACACGCGAAATCGCATAAGAAAACGTCCGACCGAAACGACAGCGCGCAGCTTTCGCAAACTTTTGCCGCCCGGGGCCGGGGCCAACCAGCAGCCGCCACGCACCACACGTCCATTTCTTTTCAGATTTGCTAACCATCACCCGGTCCAAAACAACCGCATTATGGGCCCTTGGATGGGGACTCGACGGGCACAATCGCTGCCGTAATCTTCATTCCTTCAACGCAGAGATCTGCGCGCACACAACCTCTTGGCTGCTCCGAGACGGCTGGCTGGATGGACGGACGACGGAGATAAGCAAGCGCCCCTTCCTCTTCTGTTGGATTCGGTCGCACCCCACCACTACCTGTAGCACGAGAACAAGACGATTCCCACAGAAGGGGAAGATGAGTCCGTCGGCTTTTTTAAAAATTTCTGAAGAATTTGTGAAGTATTTGACATATTTGATATGTATTTCTCTGATATCTGCAATTCATAAAAATAATTTATAAATTTGGTATATATTTATTTGAGATATGTAATTATCCTCGAATTACATCACTCTATCCAATAAATTACACTGAAAAAATTATTGTAAATATAGTAATAAGATGGTGTAAATATAGCTATAAAACGGTGTAAGTATATGGACAAAAATCTAGTCGTTGAGAGGACTAAAACAACCCGTCGTTGGGTAGACAGATTCCTTCTTTTCCTCCCACGCCGACACGTCTCGCACGCAGAGTCGGCAAGCTCCGATCCGGCGCGGGCATAAAAGCACCCCCAGCTCACTCTTCTGGCAGCCAAGCGCACACAGACACAGTGTTCTCTGTTCGTTCTCAGACCTTAGCCATGGAGATGGTCCTGGACTGGCGCTCGCTGGGCTCGCTGCTGGCGACCGTGGTGGTGTTCCGCACCGCGCTGCGCGACTTCCTGCCGCCGGAGGCCCAGACGCTGCTGCGGCGCTTCCTCGCGTGGGTGGCCGCCGCGTTCCGCCCGCCTCACGACACCATCCTCATCGACGAGGCGGACGGGCCCACGGGCGGAGCAATCAACGACCTCTACGACTCGGCGCAACTCTACCTGGGCGCGCGCTGCCTCGCCACCGCGCCCACCGTGCGCCTCCACAAGCCGCACCAGTCGCCGCGCCCCGTCGCGTCGCTCCCGGACTCGCACACCACCCACGACACCTTCCGCGGGGTCCACGTCAAGTGGACCTCCACCGCGCGCACCGTCGACCGCGGCTCCGGCGGCGGGGGCTACGGTCACCCGTACAACATGTTCGGCGGCCGCGGCGGCGGCCATGGCGACCAGCGCAGGCTCGAGCTCCAGTTCCCGCGCCAGCACCGGGACCTCATCCACGACCACTACATCCCGCACCTCATCGACGAGGCCACCCGGATGCGCCTCAAGTCGCGGGAGCGCCGGCTCTACACCAACCGCGCCACGGGGCCCGGCGACTTGGACCACCACCGCCTCTGGACGTCGCACGCCTTCTCGCACCCGTCCACGTTCGACACGCTCGCGCTCGACCCGGCGCTGCGCGAGGAGATCCGCGCCGACCTGCTGCGCTTCGCCGCGCGACGGGACCACTACGCGCGCGTCGGGCGCGCATGGAAGCGCGGGTACCTGCTCCACGGACCGCCCGGCACGGGCAAGACCAGCCTCGTAGCCGCCATCGCCAACCTGCTCGAGTTCGACGTCTACGACCTGGAGCTCACCACGGTGCCCACCAACTCCCACCTCCGCCGCCTGCTCGTCTCCACCACGCCCAAGTCCGTCGTCGTCGTCGAGGACATCGACTGCTCCCTCGACCTCTCCGACCGCAACAAGAAGAAAAAGAAGGGCGGTGGGAGCAACGTCGGCGCCGACAACGACGAAGACGCCGCGGCGCAGCTCGCCGTGATGTCGGTGTCGCCGGCCGCCGCAGCAGCCATAGCCGTAATGGGGCGGGAGTCCATAAGCCTCTCCGGGGTGCTCAACTTCGTGGACGGCCTCTGGTCGTCCTGCGTCGGCGAGCGCCTGATGGTGTTCACGACCAACCACCCGGAGCGGCTGGACCGGGCGCTGCTCCGCCCAGGCCGCATGGACAAAAAGATTGAGCTCGGCTACTGCACGCCGCCCGCGCTGCGCGTCCTCTCCAAGAACTACCTCGGCGTCGGCGACGAGGGCTGCGAGGACGCCGACGCGGACCCCGACACCGTGAACACCCTCATGGCCGAGGCCGAGGGCCTGCTCGCCGCCGCCGAGGTACAAATCACGCCCGCCGACATCGGCGAGGTGTTCATGGGCTGCGACGGCGATGACGCCGCCTGCGCGCTGAGGAAACTCGTGGGCGAACTGCGGCGGCGGCGGGATTCTACCGCGGCCACGGCCGTAGCACCGGGCAAATCGATAGAGGACACGACGGAGTGAAGCCAGTCAGGGATCCTACGTGGCGCGCAACCATGCATGGCTGCCTAGTTAGCTTCCATTACTTTGACGGTGGTTTGTTTATGAGTCGTGACGGTGCAACGCGACGTGTGCCGGGACGTAAGTGTTGGTGTCGTTTGTATGGTGTTTGCTTTTTTTCTTTTTTGTGTTGTCGTATACGTATGGAGCCCGGATTTAGGCAAATAATGGACGCTGATTACTACCCAGGCACAACAATACATTTTACATGACACAGCTCGCCCATTGCATGCACTGCACCAATGGTTTCATTTTCAGCACGTAGGTGTAAAGTGCCGAAAGGCAAGGCCGGCTCGATCGTGACTGAAGGGTGTGTTTAATTACTTTTCTTATGCGGTGTGGCCAAGAATACATAGCCAAATTTTGTTACTTTGATCAAAAGTGGTCTCCGCAATTTTTTTGACTTTATAGCGCTTACATTTTACCATCATAGGTCATTTTAGTAACTAAAGTTAACCAAAACCTCGATCACTAATTTAACAACTGAACTTGGTCATCTCAAAAATAGACTTGGCTAGTACATGCCACATTTATGTAAAAACCAAACGGGCCAACCACAAAGTGACTCTAGATCTAGTAGCTATATAAAAAAAAAGAAGGGTGGATGTCCACGCCTCCTCGCCGCTAACCGCGTCACTGAAAGAGGAGGAGGAAAGGGACTGGCGACGGTGATGGAAAACCCTAAAGACCTTGGTTAAATAGGGAGTAAAGCTCGAGCTGCTGGACGAGGAGACTAACCCATAAGGTCGTCTCCAACAATATAAGCTAACTCTAGCTTTAAATTGGCAATTATGAAAAGAGGGATATCGTGAAACGTGCGAGACTATCTCTAAACCATGTTAGTCTTTTGTCTTTTTCACTATTCGGCGATACAAAATTGATTCAGCTAACTCCAAACTAGACCATTTGGAGATGCCCTTAGTGGTAAAAAATATGGAACACAGCTACGTTCCTCTTTCCGTCAACATCGTTCCAAGAACATTTGCGTTCCCACATTATAAAAATATCGCTTCAAATTCCTCTTCTCATCCGAAAACATTGTTGAGTCTTAGACGAGTCTTTCTCGTTAGCCTAAGGTGTCATATCATGCCGGCGTCTTTCCTGAGTGGCTGACTGTGACTTTTGTCGCTGAAACTAAACCAGTGGTTTACCCTACCTAATTTTGTTTGGTGTTCAGTCAAGTTAGGTCAGTCCACAGCCTGATATGAGACGTCTCCCTTGCCATTTCAATTCGTTCCTCTGATTATATTTGTTAATGATGCAAGTTTCCAATAATAGTTAAAAGTTTTTCACCTGATTCACTCTCTACCACACCATGTCAAAGCTTCCACTCATGGCGTTTTCCATCTAAATTGATGGCACTTTGATAGGTGACAACCTGACAGCGACTCCGAACGTGAACCACACATGGGCACATGGCGTCACACGTCGCTCGCTGCGCATTCCTCAACAACTCTCTTGCTGATGAGATCGTCGACGAGCTTCTGCAGCGCGGCGAGGGCACCGTCGCCGTCGCAGCCCATGAACACCTCCGCGACGTCGGCCGGCGTCAAGTGCACCTCCTCCAGCAACCTCTCCGCCTCTCCGATCAGCTGCTCGTACCTGTGGTCACCATTAGTCGGCTCGTGATCGCCGTCGTCGCCGGCAGTTCCGCAGTCTCCGAGGTAGTTCCTGGCGAGCACGCGCAGCGCGGGGCCCTTGCAGTAGCCGAGCTTGATCTTCCGGTCCATCCGACCGGGCCGCAGCAGCGCCGGGTCGAGGCGGTCGACGTGGTTGGTGGTGAACACGATGAGACGCTCCCCGACGCACGACGACCAGAGCCCGTCCACGAAGTTGAGCACGCCGGACAGGCTGATCTTCTCCCCGTACATCCCTGGGCCTCCTCCCATCGGCGGGAATCGCGACATGGTGAGATGGCGCGGCGGCGCATTGTCCCGTTCGGCATCGTCAGTCCTCGTCCGGTCGAGGAGGCCGAGGGAGCAGTCGATGTCCTCGACAACGATCAGCGACTTGGGGCGCGTGCAGGCGAGCAGCCTCCGGAGGTCGGTGTTGGACTGCACCGTGGTGAGCTCCAGGTCGTAGATGTCGAACTCGAGGAGGTTGGCGATGGCCGCGATGAGGCTGGTCTTGCCCGTGCCCGGCGGGCCGTGGAGCAGGTACCCGCGCTTCCAGGCGCGGCCGGCGCGCGCGTAGTGCTCCCGCCGCCGCATGAAGCGGAGCAGGTCGGCGCGGATGCCGTCGCGGAGCGCCGGGTCGATGGCGAGCGTGTCGAACGTGGACGGGTGCGCGAACCGGTTAGACGACCACAGCGTCCCGTGGGCGTCCGGTCCGCCGCCGCAGTAGCCGCTGTTGGTGTAGAGCTTCCGCTCCCTCATCTTGAGCCGCAGCCTCGTGGCCACGTCCAGGACGTGGGGGATGTACGCGTCGCGCACGACGTCGCGGTGGCGGCGCGGGAACTGGAGGACCAGGCACCGCTGCTGCTGCTGCCCGCCGCCTCCGCCTCTGCCGACCGGGTAGCTGAACCCGCCCGACCAGCCGCCGCCCCCGCCGCCGAAGAACCCGGACGGGGAGTAGGCGCCGTTCGACTCCGCGCGCCGCGACGCCCACAGGACACGGACCCCGCGGAACGTGTCCCACGCGGTGTGGTCGTCCGGCAGCGACGCCACGACGTCGCTCGCGCCGTGCGCCTTGTGGAGGTGCAGCGCCGGGGCCGACGCGAGGCAGCACGCGCCGAGGTAGAGCTGCGCCGCGTCGTAGAGCTCGTTGGGCACGCCGTTGGCGTCCGTCTCGTGCACCACGATGGTGTCGGGAGGCTGGGCGAAGGCGGCCGCGGCGCGCGCCACGAGCGCCCGCAGCGCGCCGTGCGCCTCCGGCGGGAGCACGTCGCGCACCGCCGTGCGCACCACCATTGTCGTGGCCACGAGCGAGCCCAGGGAGCTCCAGCTCAGAGCTACCGTCTTCATGTGTCGCGGCTCGCGATGGTCAGGTCTTCCTTCCTCTGACAGTGACGTGAGGGTATCAATGGCGGGCTGTGGTGTATGGTTTGCGAATGCGACTTCTCCCTCGCAGTCGCTTATGGTTTGAAGCATCCGTGCCATTTCGCGCGAATTTATAGTTTCTCTGAACCGACTTTGCGCTTGACAATAATTCGGCGACGATGGTGGCAGCAAAACTGACTGTGCTCAAGTTTGGTCAGTCGTCAGACTGCCGATCAAAACCGATGCGCCGAGTGAGTTGACTTGGCGAACAACGCGTCATTTGCCTGCTGTTGGGATCAAAACATGATTTTTTTTTCATTAAAAGAGATACCGGAACGTGATTAATGGCAGTAGTTGTTGGTGCATGGTTTAGATTAGTCATTTTTCTTGTACTTTATTGAAGGGTCCCAATCGCCAAGGGAATCAAGCACACGCCAGAACCACGAGCAGCTTGAACCGTGATGGCCAAGGAACTGATGCGCCGACTCTTGATTACTATTAGTAAAGTAAGCAAGTGGGCTTTTTTAACGAAGCTGAAGTCGTTTTTGGAAAGTGTCTGAAAAAAAACACATTTGGTGGCAGTCTTGTAATAATTTGTGAGGAGAGCAATGAGAAACCACGTCTCCAGGCTCTGGCTCCTTGGTACAAAATGCTTCGTATGAGCATAGACGTGAGTTTGAGTCACATACATGACTACTACTCATCACGTACTGCTACTTTTAGTAAAATCGATCAAGACTCTAATACGTAGGGAGCAGTGAGATAAACTGATTGGGAGGAAGTGATGGACCAAAATTTGATACCAATTTTTTTCCTTCTAATGTTGTTATTACGCCAGCAAAATTGTCCGTGGGTCGCAATGGGTGATGACGAGGCAAGACACACCCTCACTGTCAATTTCTCTGTCTGAGACGACGTTGCAAAATGATTAGGACTTGCACCTCCGATATTGCGTAGTAGCAAGCAGGCAATGAGCAGAACTGTCCTCACTGGGCTAGCATGTTGGACTTGCTTGGGCCTATTAGAGCCCAGCAACGGACGATTCAAGAGATGCGTCGGATCCAAAGGAACGGTGGATAAGCATTATGCAGTTCTTTGAGTGCTCAAAGCACAATTATTCAGACTTCTGCTTTATCTTGCTGCAAATATTGGATGATCTAATGTTGCTTTTTTTTTAATAATGTCCATCGACAGTCACTCGAATTGAAGCTCATAGCGAGAACGAAATGTACATGCAGCTGTAGCTCTGGGCATTCGGTTAACCAAAACCGATCGGTTTGGTTCCTCGGTTTTTTAGCAAATTCGGTTCCTACACAATTAGGGACCGATCGGTTCTTTACAAAAACAGGAACCGACGAAATTCGGTTTCGGTTATTTCGGTTCGGTTTCAGTTATAACCGAACTAACCGAGCCCTCTTGTTGCTAATGAGGTCTATCCAATGCTTGTTGGTGACACATTTAACATGGTTTTAGCTCTCACTCTGAACCTGGATGGATCAACAGACACTGGCTACTACACACAGGTGACACACCTAATTTGTCTCATACTCCGTCCGTCGGTTTTTTTACATGTTGTATTGGCTTTGTTCTACGTCAAATATTTCTATCTTTGACCATCAATATTTTAAAAAAATGTATATAAGATATGTATATGTTTTTAGATTCACTTGTATGAGAAATACTTTAATAGTATATAGTTCACATGTTGTGAAACTACATGGATTTTTTGAAATTGATGATCAAAGGTAGGGATGTTTGACTTAGGACAAACCTAATATGACATGTGAAAAAAACGGAGGGAGTAGCTTGATCTCGACATTATAAAACTTTTGTGATGGGAATACAGATCCGAATGTGTTTGAGGTGCCATGATATTTTTCATTTTTTCTCTTGGACTTGTCTTCCACGAGGCATAGTTTTATTGGGTAAACAACATGATGCCATTCCTTTCATGCAGGCTGGAAGAAAAACGCTTGCTGACGATTATCAATACATCATGCATGGAAAGCTTTACAAGATCTCAGAAGACAGTACCAAAGACAGTAATGGCGATTCATCTACTAAAGTGTATGCCTTCTCTGAACTTGAGCAATGTTACATATATACGATGCTACACTGTTTTATTTCCCTGCCCCTTCGCATTTTTCGTGAAGACACCCTTGTAGCTACTAACAGCCTGTGTAAGTGCAACCAATTAAAAGTTACTGAAAAGATCCACAACATAAGTTGGAACAGGGATGATTGATCCCGCATGGTATTCTCTTTTAGATTTACTCTCTGGTGTACGTAAGTCCGAGGATACATATAATTTATTTTATGTGAATATGTGATGCATGTCTTGTCGATTCTTGACAAGCACTAGCACTTGGTCTGCCGCATCCTGTTAAATTTGAATTTACTAAGGTACTCTTATCGATTAAGGTTGTGTTTGTGTTTTAAGATGAAATTACTTTACAGATCTACATGGTGATGAAATACTGCCACGGTTTGTGGCCATGTGAGCAATTAGTAATTATTTAAAAAATAATGTGCATTTGATCAATTAATCATCTATTAGTAATTACTTTACAGATCTACACGGTTTTTTTTTGCATGTTTCTGTCCAAAAAAATGGAAATCACTGCAAGGCCAGTCTATTTATCGAAAGAAGGAAGCAAAATTATTTAAAGCAATAGGCTTAATTAGATAAATTTGATGCATGGGTAAGTATGCCATACATGGTTATAGATGGATGGCAAAGAAACTTGGTGTAGTTTATTTTTTGATGAAACAGTTCAGATGCATGGTATTTCTATCTGCCGTTTTAGTTGCATGATTTATTCAACTTTGTTCATCTTGTTAAGCACCTGATATTTCAGAGAGCAAAATTGCAATATAGACTGAATTGCACAGTGCACACATACCTGACATGCCCTGTTCAATGCTTAGTCCTCAATTAATGTGTTTCTGCCCAGTTTGTTATATGATTGATCCCACGTGGTAATCTGTTTTGGATCTACTCTCTGGTGTACACAAGTCTGAGGATACAAATAATTTATTTGCTGTGAATATGTGATACATGTCTTGCAATTCTTGACAAGCACTAGTACTTGGTCTGTTGGATCCTGTTAAATTTGAATTTACTAAGGAAGTCTTATCGTTCAAGGTTGTGTTTTTATGTTTTATAAGATGAAATTACTTTACAGATCTATCCACGGCGATGAAATACTGCCATGGTTTGTGGCCAAGTGAACGGTATCAGTAATTATTTAAGAAATAATGCACATTTGATCAATGAAGCTTCATGGGTTAGGTTTTACATATTAGATGTTCCTTGTATGTAGCTGTCAAAAAAATGGAAATATTGCAAGGCCGCTCTATTTATCGAAAGATAGAAGCAAAATTGTTTAAAGCAACTGGCTTAATTAGACAAATTTGATGCATGGTTTATAGAGCAGGGGTAAGTATGTCATGCATGGTTATAGATGATCGGCGAAGAAACTTGTAGTTTATTTTAAGAAACAGTTCAAATGCATGGCATCGCTATCTGCTGTTTTAGTTGCATGATTTATTCAGCTTTGTTCATCTTATTAAGCACTTGCTATTTCAGAGAGCAAAGTTGCAATATAGACTGAATTGGGTACACACATACCTGACATGCCCTGTTCAATGTTTATTCCTCAATTATGTGTTTCTGATCAGTTTGTTATATGCTACATTTTCTAATTCTACCCCTTTTATAACTCAATTATGTGTTTCTACCCAGTTTGGTATATGCTACATTTTCTAATTCAACATCCCCCGTGTCTTCATTCCAGGGAGATTTATGCATCTTTTGGTGGCCTCTTGATGATGCTTAGGGGTGATCCTTCCTGTGCAGCTAGCTTTCAGCTGGATCAGAGGCTGTTTCTTCTTATAAAGAACGATTAAATTTATTGGCTTCTCGCAAGGCTAGTTAGTAGTTACCTTGTTGGTAGTCGTACAAGCCCTACCATTCATGTACTCTCTCCATGATGGATCGTTAGAAATGACTTCTAGTACCACGTTAAACATGTTTGGATAATAAATAGTATCGTCGCTCTACCTGTTGGTCTATTACTTTGGGAAGGCTGTTTTGGCATGGAACTATGGATTTTGATCTGAACATGATGATTATACAGCAGTTATCTTCCTTTGCTGTATATATTATCAGGTAGTGGTATAAATGAGCTCTATAAGAACATTGGACCACTCGATCTCCAGCATCTGATCGATGAATCCCCCGTTGGCGGCTGTTGAACTTGAGTACATGCTTGCTTTTGGATGGTTACAAAGTTCACATGCCATTTCCCTCCCGGCCTCCATGAGGACAAGAACCAGCTGAGGCCCAGGAGAACAAGCCTTTACTCCTACCAGATATAGACTTTTGTATGCATAAATAAAATAAAACTTTACTCCCAAGCCTGCAGCACCTCCCCTGCCAGCCAGAGCCACAGAAAGGCTCCAAGAACCATTTGCCAAAAACCAAAACGGACTGAAGATTCAAGATTGCTGGAGCAGGACCACTGCCTGGCTCTCCAACAGAGGTTGAAGAGCTGGCAAGGAGCTCTGGTCCAAGCACAATCCATGGAGCACGCCTCCTGGCTCCTGCTCATTTGCAATTGCACCTAGGAGCAGTGGCTCAGCCTTTTTCCCATGGATACAAATACTGCTGCCGCTTCACATTGGCTACCATCTTATCATGCATGCCCTTGCCCAGCAATTGTACTGGCGCCTGTACTCCGAGAAGACATGTTGTGCAGAGTGGCCTTCAATTCAAGCATCAGCATGCTATACTGATTAAAGACCAAGGACAGGCAAAAAGGGTACAAGAGCATTAACACATGCCCACTCCAAGTGAGCAGTTCAGGTGATGGGCTGCAACAGCGTTGTCTGAGTAACTAGCACTTAAAAACAATCACCCTGATTTCTCAAACACAAAATACATGTTACTACGTTTTTCAGAGCCCCACAACACAAAAAAAAAAAAGGAGAGAGCATCTTTACAACGATATTACATTGAGGAAAAGGGGCATTTTTATACCTTCAGTTAAGAAGGTGAACGAATCGCTTTCTGCCATGATCACATATCACACAGCACAGGGCCTACAGGAGATACGATGCTCGTAGGATCGCTGGAGATCTTTGCGTTCAGAAGGTCCTCCTGTGGCTTGTGAAAGCTTTTGGTTGGAACGGACAGAGAGAAAGCAAGCAATTCAGATATGACGAACAGCCGAATCTTCCGTTTCCAGGATGGGAACAAGCGCCCAGCGGAGGAAAGCTGGGAGAGAGCTGATCCCAAACAATTCTTGCTTCTGACAGAGAACAAGAGAGGCACAGCTAGCTAGGCAGAATATACACTCGAAGCTGGCAGACAAAAAGCTCGAAAAAGAAGAGGAAATGGACAGCATCCAAAAGAATGAATTTTCACTACTGAAGCTGAAGTGAACTACTACTGATCACTATCTTCTGGTCCATGTCCATGATGAACAGAGCATAGGGGAATAGGAGATGATGATGAGCTCGTGAATACCAAGAAAGCCGGTGCGTGCTGTTGTTGCTCCTGCCCCCCTGAACTCTGGTGGCTTGGCTTGCATTTGCTCCTCTCCACTCGTGCTAGATGACATGGATCTTGTCGGGTTGCACGATCGTCTATCTGTTGTGCAGAGGGTTAGGACCCGTCGGTATGCGCCGCTTGTCATCGTCGCCCTCGGCGTCGGCGCACGCACCAGCAGCAGCAGCGCCGCTCGCTGCTTTCCGCCCGCCGCTCTTACACCGTACGAATGCGCCTGCAGCGGCGGCGTCGAAGCGGACTGACGCGCCGGTGGCCGCCGCCACAGCGTGGTGCACGGTCGTCGTTGCACCCGTCGGCGGCGGTGGCAGCACACTCCCGCTGTGAGTGCGAGGGCGCGCGTGGGCGTGGGCGTGGGCGTGAGCGTGGCCGTCACCGTGCGCGCGCCTCGGCGGCGGCAGCAACGACGGCGCCGACCTCCCCTCGGCGACGACGGCGAGCTGCAGCACGACGGCGATGGCGAGGCACGACAGAGCGGTGGCAGCGCGTGCCCACCGCCGCCGCCTCATCGAGCTCGCTCACCGCGCGCGTCACGGCGTCACGGGCGAACGCGCTCTCTTGGTCTGGCTGGCGGCCGCACGGGCCCTCGGGATTGGTTTGGTGCGCGAGGAGACGGGAACGAGGGAGACACTGCTCGGGCACTGGGCACAGGCAGGTGTGCGCTCAGGTGAGGTGGTGAAACAAATGGGAGTATTCGTGGACGGAAGAGTAGCCGAGGCTGCTCTGAGTTTTAACAGCGCGCGCGGGGCGCGCGAGTGGTTCGTTCGGTTCAGGGCATGTTTAGTGCCTCCAATTTTCTGAATTTGGCACTATACAAAAAGAAGATTTCTCGTCACATCAAATTTGCGGTACATACATGAAGTACTAAATATAGACGAAATCAAAAACTAATTGTATAGTTTGATTGTACTTTGCGAGACAAACGTTTTAAGCCTAATTAGTCAATGTTTAGACAATTATTACCAAATACAAACGAAATGTTACAATGCACTACAGTGCAGCTGGAAATCTGATGGCGCCAACTTTGACCGGAACTAAACGCGCCCTCAGTCTTCAGTCTTTGAGTGAGTGGTGAGTGGTGACCACAAGTAGTAATTGCAGTTGCAGGCCTGCAGCGAGCCCGGCTAACCGCACGTCTAGTGTACTAGCAACTCACTAACTCCTCGCTGTAGTCGCTGATCGCTCTAATGGCTTGGTCTTATAAACCGTACTCTTTTTTTTTTTTTAAGTTAACGAATATTATTTTTCTCTCATAACAAATCAGTCAAAGGTACTTTCAGTTATGATTTATCAACCAAGCGAACAGAACAGACGAGCGCACGAGAGGAGAACTGGCATGAACAGAACTTGCAGCCTACAATGGTGCTTTCACTTTAAGGAAAAGTACTATTTGGGATTGGTCATTACTCATATGGAACAATATCACTGGCTTTACATTCTGGAAAAAATAATTACCTTTAACATGAGACAAGTCAGGAATTGCTTAGAGGTGGGAGGTCAGTACCGGTGGAATGGAAATTCACTAAGCAACTTACAGAATTTTACCACTCCCTGCAGCTACAGCTGCAGAGTAAGTAAAAGCCAAAGGGCGCACAGCACAAGAGCCTTGATGAATCACCCACACCCATCCCTCGTCGCAGCGCAGCGCAGGTAAGGTAAACACACGACGCCATGCCGCACCCACCGAACCCCATTGATGAGCCTTGAATCCGCAGTCGCCCTCACTCGGCCGGCGCCCCCGGAGGCCGGACGGAGGACGCCAGGACGGAGAGGTGTGTGCGTTGGCGTGATAAATGAGGCGAGTTCCAGTTGCATGCAGCACACGGCGGGCAATGCGAGTTGCGAGGGGCTCGAGGCCGGTCGCCGCGCTGCAGGCTACAGCCTGCAGCCCGCACTCTGGTGCAATGCCATTTGCCAATGGCTGAATGGCATGCAACATAAGTATGGCTGGCGCGGGCGCCGGGCGGTGCGGGAGTGGGATCAGCCAGATCCATCATCGACCTCCACGAGACGGCAGAAAGGCTAGCTGCCAGTCCGGCCGGCCGCGGCGCGTTTGACCGGTGACCGCTGCCGTTTGCATGCTCACCGGTGCGTCGGGACGCCAGACACGCCTTCCTGCCGTGGCATCGATCTAGCACACTACAGATCGAGCTCCGCGCAATTCTTGGGGACGTGCCCATGCCGCATCTGCAGTATGCATTCTTCTCGGCATGCAATGCAGTTGGCTCCATGATCGATCAATCAGCTCTACGAGCTAGTCCATGGATTCATATGCTACGCACACAGGCTGGTGCCGGCCTCGATCGGCCTCCTGCTCTGCTGGGTCGTCCTCCTCTCTCTAGTCTAGGGCTAGGTACGTACGTATACGCGCACATGCATGAACGACTAGTCGACCGATCTCGTATACCCATACTGGTTGGCTCTGGCTCAGCAGTCAGCAGGGGAGCACGCAGTACGGTTTCGCGTGGGATGTCCCCGAGGAACTGGACGGACGTACTGCTGCCTGCGTATAGCACTGAAATCATAGGTGCGGCAGTTCTTCTCTTCGCTTCATCATCAGTGCTACTCCTACATGCAGCCCTCAGCCCTCTCTGCTGGGTGCTGGAGTACCCTGTAAACATGCCGTTATTGCTACCGCCCTGTTTAGGGGTACGTACCCCTTGGTCAGGAACAGGGCCTCCGCGCAGAACCATTGTCAAAGAAAATCGAGGACAGTTGAATGTAAGGCACGTTTGGCAAGGCTTTGATGATTCATGGGGTATGTATGATCTGTTAGCACTAAAAATTAGCAGCTAAAATTAACACTAACGGATCAAACATACATGTTAATAAACCTGTTAATTATTAATTAAAGGGCTGCTAACTATTAGTTTTATTAGCAGGTTTGGAGAAGCTAATAGCTGGTTCGTATGCACATTTAATTCACTATCCAACCACATATTAGCTGGTGGATCTAAACAGCCCCTAACTAAAAATTAGCAGCTTTTAGAGCATATCAAGAGTACCCAAAAAAATTTCCTAAAGATGGGTTTCTCCAACTGTTTCAACAAAAAATCACTCCTAAAAATAAACAAAATAGACCCAGTGGCATTATCGTGAATACCGACATCTTCTTCCTAGCATCTAGGTACAGAAAAGCTTCATGTGTGTTGCTGCGGTTTGAGGCGGCGGTCCTGGGGAAGGCCGGCGTGGGATCGGCCTCGGCGCGGGAGCAGAGACTGCCATTGGCGTTGGGGGAGGAGGTGGCGGCGGCGGAGGAGGGGATGCTTCTTGAGCACCAGTTTCTTGCGGAGGCGATGAGAGAGGGAGCTGGAGGAGATCCCGGACTCGGTGAGGGGCGCGATGGCGGAGCCGATGGGCGCTGAATTGCCGGCCGGCACGAGGACCGAAGCAAGGAGGCCGTCGTGCATGGAAGGTCTCGACGTCCATGTTAGCCTCGCTGGACTCGACGAAGAGGCGAGCGATGGAGAAGAAAGATGTTGTGGGCAGGATACGCGGACGCGGCACCGCGCGTATCTTTGCGCGCGGGGAAGTCGTTTTTTTCTGAGGGCCAAAAGATCGGGAGGTTGCATTGGAAATTGTTGGAGATGTTTTCTTCGTGTCTTCATAAAAATACTGGATTGAGAGATTGTTTTGGAAACTTTTGGCGATGCTCTTAGCTATTAGGTAGCCATTTTACAGAATGTCTAGCGCCGGACGTTCGGCGCGTGTCCGAACGCCCGCTCAGCCCACCTGCGTCCGCCTTTGACCCCGCCCCACGCGCGGACAAGCACGCCCCCAACGTGCCCCTTCGAACGCAGCACCCCCATCGCCCCAGTGCACTAGCCCTTCGGCGCGCCGCGCGCCCCGTAGCCCGCCGTGTCCGCCTTCACACCGCCCCGCGCGCGCGACGAGCACGCCCCAGCGCCCCCCTGACCGCAGCACCCCCGTTCGCCGACCCCCGACGCCCTCGTCCGCTAGCCCCCCCGGCGATCCGCGCGCCCTCGTCCACTGGTGCCCGGCCAAACAACATAAAACGCTCGAATAAAAGAACAACATCCTGCAACATAAGACTGAAACAGCTGAAACATTTTGAACATATTATTGCAACATGTGTGTGAATCATATGAAACATCTAGATCGGAACGATTGAAACATACGTCTAGAAACAGATGAAACATTTTGAACAAATGCTTGCAACATGTCTCTGAAACACTTGCAACATACACAACATGTGCAACATCCCTCGATCTACTTTTGCAACATCAAGATGAAACAATTGCAACATACTTTTAAAACATCTGAAACACTTGAAACATGCATTTGCATCATATGGGTCCTCCCCTGCCATGGTGTCTTCGATCGCCCGACCGCGAGAGACGATGTCCCAGCCGACGACAACCTTCTCCAGGTGACGCCGGGGTGGTGGTGGCGGTGCACGCCGTGGCTGCGACGGTTGAGTGCGGATTGGGCGCGCGGCGGTGGATGGCCTCGATGGATGGGCGCGCGTGGGGGGGGGGATGGCGGAGTGAGCGCTGGGCGCAGGATGGGGGCGCGTGGTGGCGGCATGAGGTGGCCGGGCTCACGTGCGCGCGGAGATGGTCGTGGCGACCAGCAGAGTGGACCGATCAGGAATTTTTTTTTTGGAGGAGTGAGTCGCGCGTGGTGGGATGGTCGAGTGGATGACCACGATGGTCAGCGGAGTGAGTCGTGCGGCATCCGGATGGGGGCGGACGCCCGTGACGAAGTATTATCCACTAGTAGAGAACATACCTTTTATCCGAAGCTAAAATGGGCTCTAGTCCCGGCATTTTTTTGCGTCCGGGACTAGGGAGACCTTTAGTCCCGGTTGGTAACACCAACCCGGACTAAAGGCTCCCCCGATGGGTTAGTTCAAAAGGGAAGCATCACATCCATTGTTAGATGTGTTGTGTAGGTGAGGTGGTAAGCTACACGCGCGCAAGGCAATGCATGAGGTCTTGGGTTCGAATCTCACAGGACGCAGCAGTGGGAGGCATTATTTTTTTTTAAGCTGGGAGGACCTTTAGTCCCGGTTGGTGTTATGCACCGGGACTAAAGGGGATGCTTACTCCCGGGTGAAAAACCGAAACTAGAGGGGGTTCTTTACCGGGAGCAAAAACCCATCCCTCCACTGGTGATCGTAATTTTTAGCGCTTATGGATCCAACGTGCCCTTATCATAAGACGGCTTCGGCTTCGGGATAATCTCGTACACTATAGCAGCGGTGACTCGTTTTCTCTCTTCTCCTAAAATAAACCGAAACCAGCAGCAGTGAGCCAAAAAATAAAACTGGTTCACCTGCTCCGACTCCTCTAGGTAGCATAGCAAGGAGCTGAATCTGGAGAAGCCGTCCTAAATATGCTCCGAATGTATATCCACTGGCTGTTTTATGAGGAGTAGATGTTTCATTTGCTACTTAATTACTTCTAAAATTGCTACAAGTTACTGTATATTATGAGGCAGAGGGGGAGCACTCGATCGGGAAACAACATATATATCATACAGTACT